ATGGAAAGTGGTCTAAAGGCATTTGAAGAAAGTCTGGAGACAGACTTTGAGGCATTGGGGAGAGACTGAGGGAGAGGCCAAGGGGATCACGGCGCTGGCTTGTCCCCATACAGCAGTAGCCATCTTGCTCAACGAGGCACTCGCCTAAGTGGCAGCAGCATGAAAGGATACAATAGCCCCACCCACAGTAGGGACTTGGCCCCACTCTGACTGCTGAGGGCAGAGTGACTAGATTAACAACTGGAGGAGACAAACAAAGACAGTAGATTCCTGGAAGTCTCTTAAAGACTGCCTAAGGTCAGACAGGGTCACAGCCAACATCATCAGAGAGAAATCCAGAAAGAAAGAAAAAAAAAAAGGGGGTCTCCTACCATAGACGTTCACACCACAAAGTCAGGAAATCAAGGCAGATCAATTTAAGAACTAGAAGTGAAAAAGAAGAGTCTCACAAATAATGGAAAGAAAAAGAAATACCCCCCAACCGAGGGAACGGAAGAATTCCACAAAGAGAAGTAAATGAAATAGAGGAAAGTAAACTGTCAGATACTGAGTTCAAAACAATGATTCTAAACTAAGGAAGCTCAATGAGCTCAGTGAGCTCAGAGAGAATTACAAAAAACTACAGGGAAACTATGAGGAATTTACTGCAAACTATATCAGCAGAAAAAAAGAGATAGAAACTATCAATAGGAGGGAAGAGGAAATGAAGAATACAATTTCTGAATTGAAGAACACACTAGAAGGAATCAAAAGTGGTCTAGGTGAAGCAGAGGATTGAATCAGCAAGCTGGAGCACACGGTAGAAAAAAGCTCCCAGAAATCACAGGAAAATGGAAAAAGACTTTAAAAAATGAAGAGGCATTGAGAGAAATGCAGGACAACCTGAAACGTAATAACATCTGTATGAAAGGGATACCAGATGGAGAAGAAGAGGAGGAAGGGATGGAGAACCTGTTTGAAAACGTAATGATGGAAAACTTCCCTAATTGGAGGAGAGAAAAAGTCATGCAAGTCCAGGAAGCACAGAGGCTCCCATTCAAGAGGAACCCAATGAGGCCCACTCCAAGACACATCATCATTAAAATGGCAAATATCAAAGACAAACAGAGAATCCTAAAGGCAGCAAGGGAGAAACAGGTAGTAACAAACAAGGGAACCCCGATATGGCTATCAGGTGATTTCTCAACAGAAACACTACAAGCCAGAAGGGAATGGCAAGGAATATTCCAAATCATTAAAAGCAAGGGCCTGCAGCCAAAGCTGCTCTACGCAGCAAGGCTCTCATTTTAAATGGAAGGTGACATAAGGAGTTTCCTAGACAAGAAGGCTAAAAGAATACACCTCCACTAAACCAGCACTGCAAGATAAAGGAAGATAAGCTTCCTTTAGAATTCCCATGCTGATATAATTTGCAGTAAATTCCTTGTACTTTCCCTATAGTTTTTTTGATATTTCTCTCTGAGATCACTGAGCTCATTGAGCTTCCCTAGAACCATTGTTTTGAACTCAATATCTAATAGTTTACTTGCCTCTATTTCATTTATTTCTTCTTCTGAGGATTCCTCCTTTCCTTTTGACTGAGGCATGTTTCTTTGTCTCCCCATTATTTGTGAGACTCTTCTTTTTTGCTTCTGCTTCTTAAATTGATCTGTCTTGATTTCCTGACTTTGTAGTGTGAACTTCTATGGTAGGAGACGGCTGTTTTTTCTTTCTGGATCTGCCTCTGATGATGTCAGATGTTCACCCTATCTGACCTTAAGCAGTCTGTTTGAGACTTCCAGGAATCTACTGTCTGTGGCTGTTAATCTAGCCTCTCTGCACTCAACAGGCCAGCTTAGAGACACCACAAGGTGGGGCAAAGTCCCTCCTGGCAGTGGGGTTATTGGGTCCTCTCACTTCGTTGCCACTCAGGGGTGTGGTCTGCCTGAGCCAGATGGCTGCTGTGGTATGGGAGAGGAGTCAGCACTGGATCCCACGGGCTACTCTCTCCATTCTCTCCCCAAAGCCTCTGTCTCCAGTCTTTCCTCAAGTGTCTCTAGCCCACTCTGCCCCCGCCTTTGCCAGAGACCAGGGTAAGTGGCTGCAAATAAAAATTTATACATTGGCTCTTTAAACAGCTCTTTGCATCTCCTGCCACCTGTCTCTGGCAGAGAGCAACCCTGCCGCTTTTTGTAGCTGGTTATCTGTGTACTCTTTGGGCTCTGGTTCTGTAGACTGGAGATTCTTGCTTATGGTTTAGACCCCACTCTCATCAGGGAGATCCAACTGGCTATATCAATATCTTTCTGGTGCTGCCGCCCATGGGCATCCTGCCTGCCTTCTCCAGTTTCTACCACACTCCTTACCAGTTCAGCTGTGCTGATTCTTCTCTCTGTCCACGGTAGTAAGGCTCCTCTCTCACCATTGTTCAGTTGTTTGTTCCAGGTGATTTCTCCACAATTTAGCTGTAATTCCAGATTTGTCCTGAGAGGAGGTCAGTGTGACTTCCACTCACTCCTCCGCCATATTGATTCTCTCTATTGTTAATGTGAAACGTTAACTACCCCACAGGCCAATGGAAAAGACTGTCTCTTTTTTTACTTTTAATCAAATCTTAGAGATTAACAGCTCCATCTCCTAGCTTTCTCCCACCTCAGTAATCTACCATCAATGTATTTCATGTAACCCTCCTTACCTTATCTCCTTTGATTCCAATGTATAAAATGAGCTCAAAAGTGCCATTCTAGAGAGAATTTTCTCAATCTGGGAGAGTTTTGGGCATGTCCTCAAAATTTTGGTTCAGATAAACTCTTGTAAAAAATTTTTCATTAGGTTGGACATTCTTTCATCTGACACTATGAAGATACTGGATTTTCCACACCTACCTACTCTATGTTAATACCTGCAAAACTTCAGTTCATGCATGACACACAGTGCTGTGTAACAGTTGGCTACTTTTATTAGTATTTATGTATTTTTAATACATTCTGGGTTTATTTGTGTAATTTAGAAGTAAACCTTATGATATCCCACTCAGCAATATCTTCACTGATATATCTCCTAGGGCAAGGGATGTAAAGGAAAGAATAAACAAATGAGACTACATCAAATTAAAAAGCTTCTGCATGGCTAAAGAAAACATCAGCACTCAATGTTCATAGCAGCACAATTTACAATAGCCAAGTGTTGGAAGCAACCTAAATGCCCATCAGTAGATGATTGGATCAAAAAACTATGGTACATATACACAAAGGAATACTACGCAGCAGAAAGAGAAAAAGAACTACTAAACTTTGCGACAGCATGGATGGAACTGGAGAGCATTATGCTAAGTGAAATAAGCCAAGGAGCAAAAGACAAATACCATACAATCTCACCTATAAGTGGAACCTAACCAACAATACAAAGATGGAAGGAAAATAAGACCAGCAACACTGAAAGGAAAAGAAATCAACAGAGACAAGAGGGAAGGAGTGGGGGGGCGGGGAAAAGGAAGGGAAGGGGAAAGTCAAAAAACATATAGCAAGGACTCATGGACAAAACCAAAGGGGAAGAGCTGAGGGAGGGAAGAAGGGACGGGGCAAGGGAAAGTGGTAGGGGGTAGGCAGAGAAATGTATTTGAAAGAATAAAAAAAAAAGAAAAAAGAAAATTAAAAAAAAGAAAAGAAAAGAAAACCTCAGCAAAATGAAAAGGGAATCAATGTATATGGGAAGACATATTTGCTAATGATACTTCAGACAAGGGTTTGATCTCCAAAATACATAAAGAACTCATATGACTCCACACCAGGAAGACAAACAATCCAATTAAGAAATGGGCAAAGGACTTGAATAGACACTTCTCCAAGGAGGACATACAGAGGGCCCATAGACATACAAAAAGGATGCGCAACATCACTAGCCATCAGAGAGATGTAAATTAAAACCACAATGAGATATCACTTCACACCAGACAGAATGGCCATGATTAACAAATCAACAAACAACAAATGCTGGTGAAGATATGAGGAAAAGACAACCCTGGTGCACTGGGAATGCAGACTGGTGTGACCACAGTGGAAAACAGTTTGGAATTTCCTCAAAAACCTATAGATGGAACTGCCTTTGCTCCAGTGATCCCATATTTGACATTATACCCTAATCCTGAAACACCAAAAGGATCTATATACCCCAATGTTCATAGTAGCATTATTTACAATAGCCAAGTGCTAGAAACAGTTTACATGCCCATCAGTAAATTAATGGATCAAAAAAATTGTGGTACATTTACACAATGGAATACCACGCAGCAGAAAAAAAGAAGGAACTACCCTTCGTGACAGCATGGTTAGAAGTGGAGGGTATTATGCTAAGTGAAATAAGCCAGGCAGCAAAAGACAAATTCCATATGATCTCACCTATAAATGGGAACAAGTGAGCAAAACATTACCAGACACGTGGAAATAAGGAACAAACTGACAGTGACCAGAAGGGAAGGGGGAGAGAGAGAATAGGGAAAGAAGACGAAGGTTCTAGTCAAGAAACGTGTATTAAGGACCCATGGTAATGGACAACGCAGTGGAAATGGAATGTGGAGTGGGGGAGGGCAGGGGAGAGCAATGAGGTGAAAACTGGGACAACTGTAATTGAACAATAAAAAATGAGTAAAAAAATAAAAGTAAAGATTATGGTTATCAATGACATTAATAATTCTCCCTGTGCCCAAATGCAGGCAGAGAGCAAGGACCACTTATTTAATTCCTCCATTCCAAAAGTCTACCATGATGGCTAGCACATCTTGGTCAAATAGGAACACTTGTCCTGAGAAATAGCATGTTGTTTCCAGGCCTCCCTGCCAGGCTGCCTAGGACTATACCCCACACTCAGACCCCTGGGTCTTCTCCTTCCCATTCAACCTGGGCTGACCAGTGCACAAGCAGGTGATTCCTGGGGCTGGGTCACCAGTATATCACTGGGACACATCACACACTGTTTGACATACCTGACACCTGCCTTCCGGAAGGAAGCCCGAGAGGCTGATTATGGCGACCACCGCCAAGCAGTGGGTGCTGGTGGAGATGGTACAGGCGCTATACGAGGTGAGCTGGGCGGCTCGGCGGCCCGGCAGGCGATGACCACATCGGCTCTGGGGAAGGGGAACGACTCGTGCGGATTTGTGGTCAGGGGCCTGGGCGGGATTGGCTCGGTCACTACCGGATCCTCGGCGTCCCTGGATGGAAGGGCTCGCGGGCGCACACCGTCCCAGTGGTGGTCGGTGGAGAAGGACCGGCAGAACTGGGAACCGGTGATCTAGCTTTGAGCTCCGGCGGGCGTGGAGACCGCTGTGGGTCCTGTCGTGACGCTGGAAAGGAACACGTGGGAGGGGGCACCGGAGAGAGGCTGGTCCTCAAAAACCAGCCTTGGGACTGATGGAAAGGCGGGTGGTGAAAATAACAGTGGAAGAAGTCAGTCTGGCAAGGGGCAGGAGGAGTCAGGTCCTGGGAGCTGTGGAGCAGGTGACAGGGGAAAGAATTGTGATAAACTGGAGTTTTTTTTTTCCGAGACGTCAGGTAAGAAAAGAAGCTGAATTATTTAGGGTTTAGGAATATGAAATACACGTCGTTTGTCACTCTTTCTCATATGTCCCATTTTCTGCCTTGTAAATAGACACCTCTTTTGGTAGATCTTTAAAAGAAGAGTGGTCAGGAGAGTTTTCAAAGTCTAGCCATTTCACATATGTTAGGTAACATGAAATCAGAATGTCAGTCATAGGGAATGTTTGTTCATTTGGCATGTATTTAACTGAGCTTCACCGTGGTGTTCAATAGAAACTTCTGTTTGCTCTCTGAGCAATTCAGTACAATAGCCACTAACCCAGTGTGGCAGTTAGGCACTTGAAATGTATCTAGTGCGACTGAGGGACTACGTTTTTTATTTAATTTCGTTTAGATGTAGATTTAAATAATCACCTGATGACAGTAGCTATGGTATTGGACAGCACAGATCAAGATGCTGGAATTAGTGCAGTGAACAAACAGGCAAAAGTTCCTGTGCCTGTAGAGCTCACATTCATTTAAAGTGAATTTCAGTTTTCTTTTGACAATTTTTTTACAACTTAATATTGCTGCTTACTGGCATGGCCGATGATGGTGTCTGCCATTGCAAGACCTATGAGGAAGGACTTGCTGAAAAACAGTTGACAGAGCAGATGTGGCCTATGTGATGTCCAACATTAGCTTAATTATAGTAAAAAAAAAAAAAATCAAAGCCAGTGAAATGTAATGGTTTTCTTGTATAAATGAATAATTTTCTTTTTTTCTGTTGTTGCTCCCTTTTTGAAAACTGCATAATTGATGAAGAATGACTCTTGGGAGAAGTCCTCCTGGATGTAACATTTCCAGGAAAAGAAGCTGCATTTGTGATTTGCATTAATTCACTGGACAGTATCTCAGTTTTTCTTAGGATCGTGTCTTTTCATAGTGGGGATGTTGAGTGACTCGGACAGATGTTTGCCTACTAGAATCCAATTAGTGAGAAAACCAAATGGATGTTTAGACTAGAGTCCTTATTCTTAAATGAATTATATTCAAGGAGGATCAGCAAATTTAAAAAGTCATCTTAAAGAGAGATTTCTTGTCTTGCTCCCAGTTTCTGTGCATTTGGTGTGTAGAATCTGAGGAGTCTTATGTCATGTACCCAAAAAAGAAATATGTAATAGTGTGTGTGTGTGTGTGTGTGTGTGTGTGTACCATATGTATACAGTTTAAAAGTTATTTGTACATTGACCGGGAGTTTACAAACAAATTTTTCAGCATTTTTCCAATCTCCACATTCTTATTTTTTTCAACTGTGGTGAGTCATCATCTCTTTCTTTCTGTCTAATGTTTGAAAATAACTTATGTTTACATTTCTAAATACCTCTTTTAAATTTTCAATGGCAAAGTGTTGGGACTAGAGCACCCTGTAACTGATTGGGGTTTAGCTGATGCGTGAACATGTGGGATCTTCCACATGTTCTTTGTATGTCTAGTTGGACAAAAATTAGAAGTCACCTTGGTCTTTATCCTGGAAATGTACAGCTGAAAAGAAGACATGGCATGGATAGTTTCATTAAGGTATCTTTATGCCTGTTGACATGGAAAACACTACATGCCTTTGGAAGCTACAGTAGAAAATGACCTGCTATCCCTTTAAGCATTTGTAAAATGTTGTTTCTTTTTTCTCTCCCATGTTGCAAGAAGGATTTGAAGAGTCTTGTCAGAAGAATACAGAATATGCAGTAGGATATGCAAAACTCTCTAAGAATTATGGAAACCGGTTTCCCAATAACTTTCTGAACTCATCCATGGTAGATGGAGTAACAGAAGGCTTGTGACGCTGTGGAATGTTTGTTACAGTCATCTCCCAGCAGTAAAAAATTAACTGCCAATAAGATCGCATAGTTGATGTTGTTTGATATGGGGGGATTTTGTATCAGGTTTCATTTTAAAGACTTTTTTTTTTCCTAAACATGTTTTAAAGCTGCAGTATCAGAGGTTTTATGTGTAGAAGAAATTGCCTACTGTTAGAAATGGGACACGGAATAAGTAGAAATGAAAGGAACTTTGAAAATAAATTTTAAGAAGCGATAGGCTTAAGGTCTTGGGAGGCAGTTATTTGCAGTGCATTAAGTTTCATGTGCAGGTTTTAAAAGAGTTTATTTCGCTTCTTGTTTTCTACTCACTCTTAGGCTCCTGCTTACCATCTTATCTTGGAAGGAATTCTAATACTCTGGATAATCAGACTTCTTTTCTCTAAAACTTACAAACTGCAAGAACGATCTGATCTTACAGTCAAGGTAAGAAATTAAATCCCAGTTTTTTTATTTGGTGTATGATGAGAGTTGCTACATCTTCAAAAAAGGACTTGTGGTCGCCAACTACGTGCTAAAATATTTTCTGGAATGTAAGGAAATCAAGGGGAATGTGATACAGGGTAGGTAAAATGTGGGAAAGCCAAGGATGAAGTACCTATCCAGAGGAGTACCAGGGGACCAACTTCCCTGCTTTGCTAGAGGCAAAGAGCAGTCTCACGAGTAGGCGATGAAAGGGAAGCATGGGCAACTACTGGATTTCCAGTGTCCATGTGCAAGATTACATGAGTTGCTAGAGCCCCACTCTTTCTGAAGTCTGACCAAAAGTTTTCCCTGTGGCGAGACTCCTTCTGGCCCCACAGTCCCCACCTCCCCACCCCAAGCCAGGTGAACCTTAGGAAATAGAAGAGCCTAGAGGATCAATGGCGCTCCCCCACTGCTGTCCATTCATGTGCAGGAAGATGTAGGAGCACTTAGTGGCTGCCTCAGTGGGAGAGAGAAAGAACAGTTTTGACTGCAGCATAGTTTCCATCACTTGGGTTGTTTTGCCAGGTACCCAGGGAGGCAGGGATTGTGAGAGACGTTTTTCTGCAACAATCTCTAAAACGTTGGTTCACCGGGCAGCATTGAGTGCAGCACAAAGATGAAGCACGGGGCTTTTCTTTACTTCCTGGACCGTTCACAGAAGGAAATGCAAGTGGAATCACCACAGCAATTTACGGTTGCTTCCCCGGTTTCTCCGACTTGCTGCTGCTGTCTTGAGCATTTATGTTAATCATGAAACCATCAGGCACTGTCCCTAGGGAACATGCAGCATGTGGTTCTGAGGGCAGAAAGTTTTAGCAACCTAGGTAAAGCACAATAAAGAGATGTCTCATTGCATGATTTCTTGTAACCTTTACTATGCCGGTGCATATTTGACCTCTGTTTGGAGGAATACCCTAAACTTGACCGCAGATCGCTCTCCCCCCACTGCCGACCCCCCGCCCCGCCCCGTCCCTTTTAATGACTACTTTGTGGGATTACCTTGCCACTGAGCAAATACTCTTTAAATAACATTGCAGTAAGACTGGGCCCCCAAACCAGAAACCCAGCCTATACTTTTTCCTTTGGTGTTTAGGAACTTCTCATGGAGGATTATGGGCCATGACACAAATTAGTCCGAATGTTCTTAGTTTTTGTTCTTCCTATCTCAAAAGATCATCCTGCTCTCAACTACAATATTGTTTCCAGACAAATGAGTTTTAAATTTAAACATATTGATCCACCCACATACACATTTTCAAAAGAGTGATACGTAAACTAGTTTTAGAGTGATCCTCTGAAAGCAGACTTAGCTAGAACAAGATTTAGTGATCACTGACACCTTGCCCTAACAACAGTGGAAGAAAAAGGAACTGTGAGTGTTGTGAGTGAGAAGTGCCCTTCTCAGTTAGCTAGGTGTACAGAGGCTCTTGAACAGCAAGGCACCTTGAGTGGATTCTAACATGTGTCTGCATGGTAGCAGTGCACAGTGTGTATGACATGTACTCCAGGCTTGTTCCGGCTGCTCTTCTCTCCCATGAGGCCATTGGCCGAAACACATGAGAACTTTAGTGGTTGATTTATTCAGCCAGCGTTTTTGAGAGCCTGAAAATCAGGTGACTGTGCTTTTGGTACTGCTCTGGAGTTGCACATCAGGGGAAGAACGCACAGAAGCATTTATCGGAAGTATGAGACTAGAGCTACTAAGAGAGGGTCTACTTGCAAGGCATCATGTTAATTTAGGTGCCTCATCTCATCCTGTACATCCAGACGACATTTTCAAAATTACCTGTTCTTCTGATACAAGAACGGATAAGAAACTCAAAATAGTCAAAATACTTATAATGCATGAAGTAACAGATAAAGGGAATAAAATAGCTTTTTATGACAATTTCCAAACAAACTCCCATTGCAGGAATTAGGAGAGTCTTTTTTTCTGTATTTCAGCTACACCTGAATCCCTGCACGTGGCTTGTAGAAACAGTGCTTTGTGATCTGGTTGATCCCTTCCGGTGATGGTCACCTCTGTAAGCACTTTGGGTGTGGCTTCCTGTGTTGTCTTGGAATAGAGGCTGAGCTGCTTCTCACCTTTGTATTGTAGACTTTCTTTTTCTTTTACAATTTATAAGGTGTGCGTCATCCTTCCCACAGTGAAAAATTTTGACCATAGAAATAGAGTTTCCTCAGTTTTTCCAGTCACCCACAAAGCCGCTTGGAAAAAGAGCCTTTAGCCTACAGTAAGAGGCCAAGAGGGTAAGTGCCCAAAACTCAGGAGTGATTCTGTTTCATTTCTAGCCACAACTAGACCTGTTTCTCACAGTGTGTTCATTATGACAGTTCCACTGCAACAAACAATTTAGATGCTGCTGGAGTCACTGTCCAGTGACTAGCATTGTGCTGTGTTTTAACACCTTTTCTCCCATAGGAAAAAGAAGAATTGATCGAAGAGTGGCAACCAGAACCTCTTGTTCCTCCTATCTCAAAAGACCATCCTGCTCTCAACTACAACATTGTTTCAGGGTAAATCAGTTTGCTACTTGAAGGACTTTCACTCAGTTTCCTGTGGGGGAACTCACCAAAATGTATAAGTGGTTTAATGGTGATCCTTTTTTACCTGAAATAAAAGACTTAAATATTTCTGCAAGTCAAAAACTATCTGCTTGGTTGCCAATATAAGACTTTCTTTTGGGAGTGGTATGGGCATTTTTTAAAAAGATTTTATTTATTTATTTTTAGCAAAAAGGAAGGGAGAGAGAAAGAGAGGGAGAGAAACATCAATGAGTGGTTGTCTCTCTCACGCCCCCAACTGGGGACCTGGCCCACAAACCCGCATGTGTCCCAAGTGGGAATCGAACTGGTAACTCCTTGGTTTGCAGGCTGGCACTCACTCCACTGAGCCACACCAGCCAGGGCTGGGCATTTTTTTATAGTCTCTAGGCATTACTGTTCATACCTTTTTCTGAAAACAATCTCTTTTTCAAAGTAATACACACGCACGATAATATGTCAAGTGGTCTGACGCACTTAAAATGAAAAGCAACAGTGCTGCTTTTTCCCACCTGGGTTTTTTGTTTTGTTTGGGTTTTTTTTTTTTTTGTTTTTTTTTTTTTGACTGTACATTTGTAGCAGGGTGCCTTCATAATTAGGTCTTAACAGTATGCTGACACCATTACTACTTGATTGAGTAATGATGGAAAACACCTAATGGCTCTCACAGTAGGAATTATGAAACTTAAGCTCACTGATCCTACGTCTCTCGTTGTTTCCGGAGTCTGATCTGTTTCTATTTTTAGTTCTCCTGTTAGTTATCTTTGCTTTTCGTGTGTGGGGTTTTGTTTTTTTTTTCTTCGAAGATTCCACTTATTTGTTTATTTATTTATTTATTTATTTAGAGAGAGGATAAGAGAATGACAAAGAGAGGGAGAGAAACATTGCTGTGCAAGAGAAACATGAATCGGTTACCTCCCATACGACCCCACCCGGGGACCTGGCCTGCAACTGGCGGCCTTTAGGTTTGCAGGATGATGCCCAAGCCACTGAGCCACACCAATCAGGGCATCGTATACGCCTTTATTAACTAAGAAGTATTTTAAAAATATAGAAAATATCATGCACATGTGTATCAACCGTCTAGAATTAACGGGCAGTAACACTTTGTTATCTTTTTTTGAAATATGTTTTTAAGAAGAAAGAAAACATTACAAATATAGCTAAAGAAACCCATACCACTTCCTCTTGCCTCCCACACAAGATCACCACTGTCTTGTAGTCGGTGGGTGTTTTCCTTTGCTTATGTTTATACTTACTACATATGCCTGCCATCATGAAAATATTTAGCATTTTGTTTAAAATTGTGATGCAGGTTATTCTCCTGAGCATATCCTTCTGCTTTGATCCAAAAGAGCCTTGTATTCTTTGCTTTTGTGGGTTCTTTGACCTTACAAAAATTCCGCATGTTCTGAAATCAAACTTACCGACCATTAATCTTTTGAAAGAAATCCTTCCCTGCCCCAAAGGTTTAATTTGCCTGTTTTCCATGCAGTGGTCAGTTGTCCCAGCATGATTAGTTGAGTAGCCCATTTTTTACCTACTGATTAGAAATTCACCTTTTGTGTACCAAGAACCCTCATAAAGGGTCTATTTCTGGCTTTGTTTCTATTCTTTAGGTGCACTTGTCTCTCCCTGTGCCAGAATCTCACTCCTATAAATAACACAGCTTGAGAATAAGACTTGACAAAAGTGAGTCCTCCTGTTCTTGAGAATAGGCTAGACCAGGAGTCCCCAAGCCCCAGGCCACAGACTGGTACCAGTTAGGAACTGGGTCGCACAGCAGGAGGTGAGCAGAGGGCGACTGAGCTGAGCGAAGCTTCATCTGTATTTACTGCTGCTCCTCATTGCTTGTATTACCTCCTGAGCTCCATACCTGCCTCGCCACCCCTCCCCCAGCTCATGGAATAATTGTCTTCCACGAAACCGGTCCCTGGTGCCAAAAAAGGTTGGGGACTGCTGGTCTAGACTTACTCTTGACTCTGTTCTTCACTGAGAGTTTAGTTTCAGTTAATCAAATTTGACCCAAAAAGTGGGTTTAGGTTTGTGACTAGCAGTGTGTCGAATTTATAGATTAATTTGGAGAGAATGGGAAACTCGCCAATAATGGATCTCATCGCCCTGTGCCTGGGTTGTCACTTGTATATTTAGGTCTTTTATGTCACACAGTAAAATTACATGACTTTCTTCCTAAAGACTTGGCTTGTCTTTTTTGTTTCTACTTTTATTTTGAAACAATTGTGGATTCACCTGCAGCTGTGAGATATAGCACAGAGAGATCCTTGTTGGGTTTTCCCCAGTGGTAACATTTTACGTCCATAGTACAATATCGCAGCCAGGAAACTGACATTGTGTATCTTCTAATGGATTTGTCCCTAGGTTCCAGGGTTTGGGTTTCTGTCAGGAGAAGTGTCTTTTTCTTCTGTTCCTGTGTCATTGCACTGGCTGGGGGCACCTCCCATACAGTGTTGAATAAGAAAGGTAACAAGGGCCTCAGTGTCCCTGGTGGCTTGTAAGAGATAACCTGTATCAAGTACTGAGGCCTGCCATTCTCTTCTTGGTTTGCGAAGGGAACTTTTTGGTTTTCAAATGAGAATATTAAAATTTACCAAGTTCTTTCTGTCTATTGAAATAATCATGACTTTTTTCCTCCAATCAGTTACCATGTTAAATTATGCTGGTTGATTTTTAAGTTGGCTGTGTATATATGTAAATTTTTATTAGAGAAACTGCTATCCGCGTGCCACGCATCCTCACCCCAGATTCCCAATCTGTAGAAGTAATTACTTGTCTTTCTTTAGCTCCTTTTTTTATTCTTCTGGCATTTGCCTCTTGTTTTTCTAAGGAACTTGCTTATGCTGTTACTTCTTGAATACGTTTCTCTCTTTCCCAGCTTTAATTGTATTCATTAGCGGTAGGACATAACACATGCACACTTGCTGTCCCCAGGCCCATGGTAGCCCCTCTCGTGCCTTAGTGTGGACTAGAAAGGCCCCTCTTCCTCTGGGAGCACAGCAGCCTGATGTGGAACTTGGCTGTGCAGGCACGTGCAGCCACGCTGTTCATCCCTTCTCCCAACAGAGTTCTGTTTTTGCATTATGTGTCCTTAGATTATTTAGCGCTTACATTTTTATGACTGCATTAATATCATTCATTAGTTAAGATTAGCATCCATTTTTTTCAATATGCAGAATATTTTAATTACGTTTTCTTTCTGGTTTTCATTTTTGTTTGTCCGCTTGCTTGCTTGGTTTTACGTATTAGTCTACTTCATCCCATTGTCTTCCTCCAGGAGTTATTTCTTGGGTCCATTTTCATTTTTCCTCTTGGAACCATTGTCTTCCTGCTCCAGTCGTGACTGGTTGCTAAATAGAGCTGCTGCCCAGGGTGGCCTGGGATCTCAACCTCTGCTTTGGCTCAGAAATCCCTTCATCTCTTTCCTGCATTGTTCGTGTCCTCGGCCCGAGTTTACTCCCGGGTACTAGTAGACTACAGGTTGACTCCTGAGGAAGGCTATGGAAGGTAAATTTTTTGAAACCTTATACATCTTAAAATTGTTTTTTATTTTACTCTTTTACACTAGAGTGATTGTTTTTCCTGCTTTTATTGCTCTCTTAGATACATTTCCAGTGTCTGGTGATCTTTACATCCTTTTCTTTCAACATGCAGAATACACTCATTGTAATCAACAACAAGCATACTGTACGTAGTCTGCAAAAAGCAGGAAAAAAATCGTGTTTTGTTGATATTGATAAACTTAGAGTTACTCCTCAATTGCTGAAGTACCTCTTTACACTCAGTACTGAGTTAACACAAGAGTAAGTGAGTTTACTTAACTCGGATGGATTTTTTCCCTTCAAATAACAGCCTTATTGAAATATAATCCATAAACCATAATACTCAACCTTTTAAGACACACAGTTACGTGAGTTTTATTATATTCACAGACTTGTGCAACCATTGCCACCATCCAATTCCAGAATATTTTCATCACCCCAAAGAGAAACCCCACACCCATTAGCGGTCACTCTCCGTTCCTCCCACTCCCCAGCCCCTGGCAGCACGAATTTACTTTCTCTGTGGATTTGCCCAGCCTGGATGTTTCATATAAAAAGAATCATATATGTGTGTGTGTATAGTACTTGGCCTTTTGTGTCTGCCTTCTTTCCCTTAGCCTGGGATTTTCAAGGACCATCCATGTTGAAGCATGTGTCAGTGTTTCATTCATCTTAATGGATGAATAATATTGCAGTCCGTGGATAGATCACATGTTGTTTACACATTCATCAGTTGATGGACATTGGTGTTGTTTCTACTTGCAAATACATGAAAAAAGAAAAAATACATTTACATATATATTACTCCTATGAATATTTGTGTTCACATTTTTGTGTGGACATACGCTTTCATTTCATTTAGTGTATATACCTAAGAGTACTGGAACTGTGAGTCCTACAGTAACTCATTTTGAGGAATCGCCAAACTGTTTTCCATCCTCCAGGCGATGTAAGAGAGCTCTAATTTGTCCATGTCCTGGCCAGCACTTATTGTCTGTCTTTTTGATTATAGCCATCGTAGTAGGTAGGAAGGGGTATCTCCCTGTGGTTTTAACTTACTCTTCCCAAATGGCTAGAGATATTGAGCATCTTTTCATGTGCTTATTGTTCATTTATATGTCTTCTTTGGAGACTAGTCAATACTTAAGTCATTTGCCCACTTTTTAATTAGCTTATTTGTCTTTTTATCATTGAGTTGTAAGATTTCTTTATGCATTTTGGAAACTAGGCCCTTATCAAATATATGACTTGTAAATATTTTCTCCCATTCTGTGGGGGTTTTGTATCTTTTATAGTATAGTGGATTTTTTTTAAGATTTAAAAAGAATTTTATGTATTGATTTTAGAAAGAAAGCGAGAGAGGGAGAAACATCAATTTGTTGTTTTGATATTGATGCATTGATTGGTTGATTCTTG